CAGACAGACAGACAGACAGACAGACAGACAGACAGACAGACAGACAGACAGACAGGCAGACAGAAACAACAGATGGAAAGAAAAGAAATAAGAGTCTTTTTTAGTTTTAGTAGAGGTTTTTCGGCGCTCGCAACTGCATAAGGTCATATGAGCGCCAGAAGATTAGAGGTGTTACAAGAGAGTAACAAACATTTTTAAAAAGGAGAGATAAGGACGACAGATGTTTGATAGGAAAGAAGAAGCAAACCACACCAGAGCACCCGCCAACCACCCGCAAGAAGTAGCGTCTACCAGTGTCGCCCTCCAACCACCCACAAGAAGTAGCGTCTACCAGTGTCGCCCTCCAACCACCACACAGTCAAATAGTGTAGGAGAGAAAATGTCACACAAAAAGACATAAAACAGAGGGACACAAGAAGTAGGACCTAGAGGTCATAAAAGTGTCCAAGATTAGTTTTTTTAAAGTTCGTTTTAGTAGAGGTTTTACGGCGCTCGCAACTGCATAAGGTCATATGAGTGCCGAAGATTAGAGGTGTTACAAGAGAGTAACAAACAACAAAAAGGAGGAGAGATCAGGACGATAGATGTTTGATAGGAAATAAGAAGCAAACCACACCAGAGCACCCACCAACCACCCACTCCAAGATTAGGAGTCACGGGAGAGTAACAAATACAAAAAGGAGGGGAAAATAAGCATGATAGATATTTGATAGGGGAAAAAAAGGAGCAAACCACACTAGAGCACCCACATACCACCCACGAGTTTAATTCGAGTAAAGAGAAGAAAAAAGGCACACTTTGATGGTTATTGTTATTTAGTGCTGATGGGGAGGCAAGACTGGCAGACAGGTAGAATCAACATGACACAATAAAAAAAAAAGAAGAAATAACTGAAATAGCGCACCAATTGACACCCACCAACCACCCGCGAGCAATATTAACATTATTGAGTTGTTTAAGTAAGCGTTTTACAGCACTGCCTGTTTTACGGCACTTGCAAGCAACACAATATTTTAAAAAATCCTCATACACACAGAAGCGTTTTACAAAACTGGTAGGACTTTTACGGCACTTGCAACACACTATTAAATAAATCCACAGACACACAGACTGGCTGAAGGATGAAGATATTTCGTCGAGTCAATCCAGGAAATTCAATAAAGCTGTATACAATAATAACGATGAACAACAGAAGCACAAAGACACACTTTGACGGTTATTTCGTGCTGAAAGGGGGGGGAGGCAACACTCAACATGACACAATAAAGAAAAGAAGTAGCGCGCCAATTGACACCCACCAACCACCAGCGAGCTATATTAACATCGAGTTGTTTAAGTAAGCGTTTTACAGCACTGCCCGTTTTACGGCACTTGCAACACACTATTTTAAAAAAATCCTCATACACACAGAAGCGTTTTACAAAACTGGTAAGACTTTTACGGCACTTGCAACACAATATATATTTAAAAAATTAATAAAAATCCGTGGACACACAAAGTGGCAGAAGGATGAAGAAATTCCGCTGAGTCAATCCTGGAAATTCAATAAAGCTGTACACAATAATAACGATGATAGACTCCAGTCGTTCAGAATACACGCGGCTACAACGTGGGGCTCGCTCGCTCGCTCGCACGCGCACTCGCTCCCTCACTCGTACTCATAATAATGACAGGGGACACACATGGACTCATACACGTCAGGGAACGTGCGTGCGCGAATGCGTGAGCGAGTCTGTCCGCGTGTCTGTCTGCGTGTGTGCTTGCTTTCCCGCAGGTAGGCGACACCGCCCCGCACGACAAGATGCTTCTGCTGATCAGCGACAGGCGACTGAGTACAGTACGTGTGTGTGTGTGTGTGT